TGAAGGGGGCTGGCATCGGGAGGCCACTATGGCACGGGGCAAGCACTATGGGCAGTCTATCTGAAGTGTACCTGGCGTATAAGACGACCCCCCACTTGGAGGCATATTTTTCAGGGCCAAAAAATCGTCTTATACGCCGGCAAATACGGTGGTTATAGGCCTCAGATATTTAAATATAAGTTCATTCAGAGATAATAGTTATTAATTAAGTGAATTTATCATTTGAACTTTAACAAAGCTACAACATTTTGAGCTTTAAAAACTTAATGTTAGGTATCACTTAGTTTTTTTTTTAAACTGTGATAAAATATACATAATGTTAAATTTACCATTTTAGCAGGGTTTTTTTGTTGTTGTTAATCCTCATCCAAGAATATTTTTTCCTTTGATTCTTAGAATGGAAGAGAGGGAGGGACGGAGAGAGAGATTTATGTGTGAGAGAGAGATTGATGTGAAAGATCACACCAATTGATTGATTGCCCACTGCACACATCCCAGCTGGGGTCTGGGGGATCGAACTTGCAACCTAAGTATGTGCCCTTGACTGGGAATCGAATCCTCCACCCTTTAGTGTGTGGGCCAAAACTCTAACAACTGAGCACACTAGCCAGGGCCTATGTTAGCAGTTTTTAAGTGTACAATTCATAGTATATAAGTGCCACATTCACATTGTTGTGCAGCTAGTGTCCGGATCTGTTTTCAGCTTGCAAAACTGAAACTATACCCATTAAGCATCAATTCCCCATTCTCCTTTTCCCCCAGTCCCTGGCAACCATCCTTCCACTTTGTAATAATAATAGGAATCATACAGTGTGTTTCTGTGACTTATTTCACTTAGTATAAATCTACAAGGTTCATCTGTGTTGTAGCATGTGTCAGAATTTCATTTCTTTTTAAGGCTAACTAATATTCCATTGTGCATATATACCACATTTTGTTTATCCACTTATCCATCAGTGGACATTGAGGTGGCTTCCATCTTTTGGCTATTGTGACTAATGCTGCTGTGAGCATAGGTGTATAATGATCTCTTCAACACCCTGCTTTCATTGTTTTTTGGTAGATACCCAGAAATAGAATTGCTGAATCTTATGGTTATTCTATTTTTAATGTTTTGAGGAACCACCATATGGTTTTCCAAAGCAACTGTACCATTTTACATTTCTGCCAACAGAGGACTTTTCATATTTTACATATTTTTGTGTGTAAGTAAGCTACATATATATATATGTATCTTTTCCATTAAACCTTTAAATTTATTAACACTGTTTATAACATCTTCAGTATCTGTAGTTATATGATCCCCACACGCTTACATTGATTCTTTAAGCCAATTCTCCTATTTTAAAAATCAGTGTTGCCTGGGATTTAAAGATTTTATTTATCTTTTCAAATAATTGATTCTGTGCTTTGCTGATACTTTTTATTGTATATTGTTTTTATTTTGTTCATTTATTCTTATTCTACTCTCTGAGTTTGTTATGCTCTAGGTATCACTCTTTGGATCTGATTTGTGTTTGTACATGTTCTGAGTTTGTGTGATTGCTCTCCCTTCTTTCTACCCCTTCCAAAACAATTTTCCAGGAGCCCCCAGGGTTTTGTTTGTTTATATGTCTGTTTGTTTTAATAAGGAGAACAAATTGGGGAGGAAAGAAGTAGTGATGCTAGAAATTGTTATCTTTCAGCAATAGACTTCAGCCCCATTACCCAATTTATTTAAAATTCTAACATACTCTGATTGGCAAGATTATCCAGTGCAGTCTGTAACGGTGTTATTTCCCCCCTTCTGTTGCAGGACCCGTTGGGGCCCAGCCCCTACTCATGGTGCCCAGAAGACCTGGCTATGGCACCATGGGCAAACCCATTAAATTGCTGGCTAACTGTTTTCAAGTTGAAATCCCAAAGATTGATGTCTACCTCTATGAGGTAGATATTAAACCAGACAAGTGTCCTAGGAGAGTGAACAGGTAAGAATCAAGAAGCATGGAGATTTTTTGCTGTTGGTATTTGTCTTTGCCATAATAATTGCTTATCTTGTATATCCAAATAACAATGATAAAGTCTAGCAGTTTGACTAAGAACACATGGTAATTCGTTTTGAAATTGATTGTACTTCAGAGATGTGTTAGTAGATAAAATCTTCTAATAGTCTGAAAATTTTCCAGGCTATTAGAATATGAATATTCATGTTATAATATATGAATATTCTCTCTGTGATGATAGAAAAGGTCCAAGTCATCTTTAGATGTTTTTGAAATCAGGCTGAGCAGTTTTTTCCTTTGATTTTAGGTACTATATCTTTTATCTCCCCACCGCACCTTATTTACCCTTTTCTTTTTTTTTTTTTTTTCTTTTTTTTAATATATTTTATTGATATTTTACAGAGAGAAAGGGAGAGAGATAGAGAGTTAGAAACATCGATGAGAGAGAAACATCGACCAGCTGCCTCCTGCACATCCCCCACTGGGGATGTGGCCGCAACCCAGGTACATGCCCTTGACCGGAATCGACCCTGGGACCTTTCAGTCCGCAGGCCGACGCTCTATCCACTGAGCTAAACCGGTTTCGGCTATTTACCCTTTTCTATTGTATTCTTTCTTTTATTGTTTTATTGCTTAAAGTATTATAAAGAGTATTACATATGTCTCCTTTTTTTGCCACCCTTAACAATCCCCCGGCCTCCTCTACCCCCCAGTATCTTATGTCCATTGGTTATGCTTATATGCATGCATACAAGTCCTTCGGTTGATCTCTTATCCCCACCGCCTCCTGCCCCTCAGTGTTCCTTTTTCTCCACATCATCTCTAGCACTTATCGTTTGTGGATTTGTTGATGATAGCCATTCTGACATGTGTGAGATGGTACCTCATTTTTGTTTTGATTTGCATCTCTCGGATGATTAGTGACTTTGAGCAAGTTTTCATATGTCTCTTGGCTTTCTGAATGTCCTCTTTTGAAAGGTGTCTATTTAGGTCCTTTGCCCATTTTTTGATTGGATTGTTTATCTTCCTTTTGTTAAGTTCTGTGAGTTCCCTATAAATTTTGGAGATTAATCCCTTATCAGATATGACGTTGGCAAATATGTGTT